CGCTTTGCACACTCATTAAAACGATTATTCACGACCTGTCGAGTGTTTTCTGGTTCATTCACAGGAAAGGCTTGGAGCGAGGGAGAGCAATTCAAGTCAACACTGTCCACTACCCTGATGCACGTGAGGACGAGTTGCTGCGTGCGTAAAAAGACGGAGGGAGGGGTGGGTGAGTACGCCTTAGCTATAAGTCCCCTTCATCCGATGCTCTGGAATCACAATCTCGACAGAATGCCAAGAATGCTTGGTCCTACAAGGACCATGTCGTTGCTAGGATAACTTCAAGGGCTTGGCATAAGACAAAAAAAAAAAAAAAAAAAGGAAATAAAATAAAATAAATAAGCTCAAAGCTTAAACTCAAAACTCTCCCTCTGCTCCTCTTTTCAACCTTCTGCAAAACTTTTTAAGTCCCAGGACTCGCCCACTTTCTGCCTGCAGCCAGCCGCGGGACTGAGCGGTTCCACCTCTCACAGTGCGGATGCTAAGGAAAACTCGGCCAGGGTGAGACGATTAATTCCTTTTCCATCTCCCAAGGCCCTATCATTCTTAAAAAAAACAAAAATGGTTATGTTTATATTCCTTGCACAGACTGGGGGCGGGGGTTGGCGCAAAAGATGAAGAATAATAGGGTTGTTAACAGTATTTGGTAAATGTATTCCAAACTGTTAACAAGGAAGAATTAATCCTCAAACTTGAATAAAAGTCCTATGAAGTGAGGATTAAATAGCCCTCAATAAATTAGGTCACGTTTTTCTCTCAATTTTCAAGTAATCTTTAAATATTTTGTAATGATGATAAGAGAAGTACAGATATTAACACATCTCAATATCCCACTGTTGCTCTGTACTTACAAAAGGCACACTACCGGGTCTTTAGTTTTCCTATTTGTTCAAATGAACTCTGATACGTAACATTCCTGTGAGATATTAGTTCAAGAGAAATGTCTATCTTTGTAAGTTATCATCACACATAATGCTAAGTAATACAAAATATGAGTATATAAACTACATACTAAAGAACTCCAGATTGTCTCATTCAGCCTAAGTACCCCTGGCATAATTTAGAATTAATAGGTGTTTTAAAACACAAGTATTATGTCTATATTCAAATGATTGCTACTTGATTTTTCATAAACAGCATTAATAAACCGAATGGCCAGCTTATTGTTATGAGGATAACTTCATCATGCCAATGAAAAAAGACAACAAAGCTCTTTATCAATTTCATTCTATTATATCTGACATCACAAAATCATCTGTTTTTCTATTTTATTGAAACACATCAATACAAAGTATGAAGAAAAGAATGGACGTTTTCAAGCAGCATGAGGTTTTAATTAGAAACATATTCCTAATTGCTAAAAAGCAAGTATGAATAAGTAATTTCATAATCTCCTTGGGTTGCCATAATTCACTATCAGGTTTACTTAAAATGGATCTGTCAAGTGTGTTTCGCTTCCTATATAAGCTCTTTCATTAAAAGCAACCCACGATAATAATCAAGAGGCAGATGCTGAAATATGTAAGTAAATAACTGAAAGCCTCTGCATAAATAAACACAAATCAATGTAGTAATAAACAACACTATTGATGTAGGAATGATCGATTTTAGTTTTCTAACCTGCAATCAGAGCTTGCAACGTATAATTAAAAGTATATTTTTCAACTTCCCTAATACTACTACCACTGGAAAAAATAAATAAATAAATAAACAATTCTTTCTGCCGCTTCTACCTGAATCTACTCTATTCCTTCTAGAGTATTTCTGATGGGATGGGAGGAGTACTCTGTTTTTTTCTAAGAAAGCTTTCCCAAACTTTAAAATGACATCATTAATTATAGAAATTATAAAAGTATCAAATAATAAAATTACCACTTAATTCTTGCTCTGAATTTTTCAATCTTTATTCCAGCCTCTAATTATTCATTCAGTACATTTTAATAGGAAAAGCACACAATGGTGCTTATTAATTTTAAAGATCTTTTTCAACGGCTGTAGTACATTTTGGTTTAAAGATTATTTGGGTCTTTTATTAAAACAATAAGATGTCATTTCCTCAATACACTACAGAAGCTCTCACACCTATACTTGCATATGGAGGCACCATGAAACAAGCAAGGAGAAAAAAAAAACTGCATTGTGTTAATAGTGTTTCATATAATGATTGCAAAACAAACTAGTATCTGACTCAAAGAAATAAATATACTTTGGATTTCTAGAAATTCACATCTAAAACAATGATTTAGATTTTGCTAAGAGTTAAATTTTCTTTTTGAGAATATGTATCCCTGGAAGGCCGAATTGATTTAGATTAGCAAGCACCAGTATGTGATGAGTTTGAATATTTAGATTCTGGAGAGTAATGAAAATACAGTGTTCATATTTTTTCTTCATCAACAAAGATGCTTATTTACATTCATTCTTGAATCCAGGCTTCTCAAGCACAAGCTTTTAAAAGAATGTCTTCTTTATGAAATTCAGCTACTTTGAAAGGGATTTTTTTTTCCTATGTGATATCACTGGCACACAAATATTGATTTTGATTATCTTTATAATATCATATCACAAAACACTCTCTCAGACTTCTCTCCCATCCAGGGCCAAGAATTCAAGGGCAACCAAATCCAAAAGGAAAAAATCAGTTATTATTTAGGGCTAATTTAACAGATAATTTAACTTCAAACAACAATGATCAGGTCATTAAATTTCACAGCAATGAGAAAATGAAAGAACTGAGACAACTCTCCATAACCCCATTACAGTTTTTAATCTTCATGCTCAATCAACGGAATAAAAAACGTCTACGCAGGAAGATATGTTTGCACCTTAAATGCACTGATTCAAAGAATGACACAATAGGAAGAGATGAGGAATAAAATTGAAGACGACGACTCCAGTTTCTGGGAGTGACAGTCGAGCAGGCAAATTCAACCTAAGCCGAAAATGAATACCCAAATATGTTTGGTAACTAAACACTCCCTTTCATTCCAACACGAATCTCAAATCTGTAAACGTCCAACATGCTTTCCTCCTATGGGGCTTTTCTGCAAGATAGGGAAGATAGGACCGAAGATAGGGAAAAACATTTTGTGCTAAGCAACAGACCACGAAAAAGACGTGGGGCATTTTATCTTAACCCGCACCCTCACAAACATAATTTGTGAGTTATTTGTTATCATTGTAAATGCCTGTTGTGTTCACAACACTTTCAGAATGTCTGCCTACCTCAACGTTTGATAGAGGAGCGGGTGAAGACGGTGTTGAATTATAGAAATTGAGACTTACTTACAAGGGAGGGCCGGTGAGGGGGAGTCGGAAGTGGACCACCTCTATTCTGCGTTGCCTTTCCTTCCCATCACCTTTCCTAGACTGAAGATTACCGCCTGAGAATCTACGCACTGACGGAGTACTCTGCCCTGCGGAGCCCCTACCTGCCTCTCGCCAACAACGGTGCGCCCTCAGTGCTATGGGAATTCCCACCGAGGCTACCTTTTTTCCTGTAAGATCCCTCCACCTTGGACCACAGCCTTGGTCAGAGAGAAGCAAAATGGGGTAGAAAGGGAAGGGGGAGTCGGTTAGCAAGTGGAGAGGAGAGGAGATGTCCATTACAGAGCAAATAGTTTTATCTACTAGCCGAGAAGTGCTGAGATCTGAAACTGCACCGGGTAAACAAAAGGAAACAACTTTGGGAGGGGAAAAAAGTGGTGGAGCTGGTGGTGGGGGGGTGGGGATGGCACACAGAAAATGAAGAAGAAAGGGAAAAGGTAGGGAAGTGCGCCAGTCAAGGTTCTGAAGTTTCTCTTCCTGGCATCAGCCAATGTGAGCTACCAAACGTTCAGCTCTGCTTGTCCTGGGCAAGAGCGCCCTCACGTTGCTGCTCCTTGCGCAGCGCCCGGCTTCGCCTTCTGCGGGGATCTCCGCTGCAGCGTCCCGAGAGCGCCTCTCCTTCCCGGCCACCGCGCAGCCAGCGAGGCCCCAACTCAGCAGCCTAAGTTACTTCTCCAGATCGGTCCAAAACCCGAGAAAACAACGCCGCCGGGTCCCTACCACAACGACTTCAAGTCCCACTATTAAGCCACCTCTCCATCTTCGCCCAGGAGTCCCTGAGGCGCCGGGAAGGCCAATTAATAGGACACCGCAAAGAGAGTCCCAAATTCGCCTCGGGCCGAGCCAGCCTGTATCTGGAGCGTGCTCTCAGCCACTCTGGGACAGCGAGGCTCTCGAGCGTACACTGACGTCTCCTAAGTGTGCATTAAGAATCAATTATTTGCCTGAGATTTCCAAAGCCAGGAACTGGGATACTCCCAGCAGGGACAAAGTCAAGCCCAGAACGGTGTTCATTTCCCTAGTCTTTCGAAGAGACAGAAGAGAAGACTCCCACACGCGCCCAGTGCCTCTCCCGACCCAGAGCAGCCAGGCTAAATCCGACTGGGAGCCTAGTGTGACCCATGCCAAGGAGCTGGGGGCCAGGGCGAGCTCTAGGGAAGGTTGGCCTTGTTAGTGTGCAAATAGAGAGAGGAGGGCGATCCAAAGAAGAACTTTAGAGAGAAGCAGGTTCTTGGCTCTGGAGCAAAGAGCTTTAACTGAAACAGAGATAACTAATAACCCTGTGTTTGAGCGTTAAGAACGTCCCGGAGTTCCTGCAGCAGCCATAAGAATCAGAAATCATATTTCCACAAAATGAATTATTTTACAGTTTAGGACCTATTTCAGTCTCCCAGTACCCTTTCTCCATACAAATGTGTCTCGTTTTCTCTCCATATTCCTTTGCCGTGTCTACATCCTTTTGACCTGGGGATTCACTGTGATTTCTGTCAACGTGGAAAACATTATGCATCCTTTCAGCTACATCTGTTGGTAGCGCGCCTGCTAACAAACATTTTCCAAGATGAACACTTAAGCCCAGGACCCCAAAGTCACGCGTTAAAACTCAGTCAAAGCAGTCAGTTACACATACTCCCTACTCCACCCCTTCCCTTCGGAAAAGCACTTTCACTTACTGATCTTGTGGTAAGAGCGCTTCCAGTCCTGATATCCTTTTCCTCGGCATCCTTCGGACAACCTCAGGCAAAGCCTTGGGTGGAGGGGAAAAAAACAAAAACAAAACACAGTAGAAATCGGGAGGGAGACAAGAGATACAAAACCTAACAATACATCGTCTATTTGCCAGCCTGGAGCCCGCTTGGCCTACATCCTCAGAATAAGGTCCCTAGAACTGACCGCTAGGGTGGGGAATGGGTGCCTTTGGGAGCCAAAATCTGAGTGGATTATTTTAACTGCTGGTGATTGAGGGGAAAGGGCCCTGAAGGGAGAATAAAAATGGGGAATGATTGGGATGGAGAAAATAAATCCTTTTAAAAAATGCACGCAAATGAAAATCTAGCATGAAGTACTAACTGGAAAAGATCTCCAGTGCCTTTTAACTCTTACAGGTAGGTAGCCTGAGGAAGAATGCAGACGTGTGTGCCTGAGAGAGGAATCTAAATGACCTCTATTCTTCCATATCTTCAGGATCTGGCCTTAAGTAGAAAAATAAAGAGGAGAGAATTTTAATTCAAGTTTCACCTACCCTGCTTGTTGGAATGGCTGCGCAGATTTTCATGCTGGAGAGTTCCATCTGTCTGGCAGAAGCTGAAGTGGTGTTGGGGGCAGGTTATCTGGTGAAGTAGGAATGTACAGGAACCCCGCCCTCTAGGCACAGTTACACAACCCCAGCAACCCATCTCAGCCAGCTCTAAAACCTCTAATGATCTTCACCTTCACCCTTTGTTAGCCTAATTCTCCAACAGGCTTTTAGTCTCAAACACAACCAGCCACTTTAGCTATTCATAAAATTAATTTCCCAAAAGCAAAGTTTTCCCAAAGCATGCAAATTCCTCAACAATGATGTAGAAAACACATGTTAAAAACCACACTTCTATAGACTTCGAAATATATTAAATTTACGTATTTGGGTGAAATATGCACCAACTTAAATATATGTTAATCAATACACTGCAAGACTAAATTTTTGCCTCTCTGTTTTTGATTTTATGCAAGTCACAGAAACTACATGAAGGCTTCCATTACCATAAGTATATTTGTATTAAACTTTGTTCTAGACTTTATGTTCACTTGGTTCCCAATTTTGTAACAGGCTGAAGAAACGAATTTGAAATAATACTTTAACTCCTCTAGTTCAATTACATAATTTTTCTGTGTTTTACATATTAATTTTTTTTGTTAACTTTACAACAGACAAATTCAAGTAAAATACTTTAAACCTGGAAATAAACTTTAATTTGGGATTTCAAGTTTTAAGTTTTGATCAGTTTCAGTTCCAAAATCTCACAAAGGAGAACCTTCATCTTATTAAAAACAATTATAAGTATGAAAAAAATCCTCAAAAAGTTTTGAAGCATATTTCTGACATTAACTAATTTTAACCGTCAAAGGTTGGAGACAACAAGTAAAAACATTACAACCAGTTCGATGCAAGAATGTATTACATGCCATTCCAGACTGTCATGTGTTTTTTGAGAAGGTAAGTTGAAGGATGATAGGATAGATCAAGGGAAATGAGATGTTCATACTGGGCTTCAGGAAGCCTTTCCAAGGTTCTCTCTCCATATATCTGCCTTCATGTCTAGTATACCTAACAAACTTCTAGGCATATCCATTACATGTAATTTGGACATGGGTCCAAGCAGAACTTTTACTCCAGTACTTCGTTTCTATGAATCAAAGAAATCAGTTTTACTCTAGATTTCAAAGGATGATGTTTGCCATTAAAATTCTATTTATCTGTCAGCCAAATGAACACTTATAATCACAAATAACTATAGTTATTTAATGTGGTCAAAAAAAAATTCATGCAGGAAAACTTTCTTCTATACCTATATCCCTTTACCTCACCACAAGAGTTCAACCTTCTTTTTAACGTTTGGTAAGCAAAATTCTATATTCCCCCTGTGTTAATACATTCTTATTCCACAAATAAAATCCATGGCAAAAGCAAGCAATAAATCATCACCATTTTTCAGCTTGGACACATACCTCTCTGAGCTATTTCAGTTAAAAATGTGTAATAGGGATTTCCTTTGCCTAAAACCATTCACTTGGACTTTATTGCTATTTTTAATATCGGCCATAAATTTGGCTTTTAAAACAATAATTTGTTTGGGAGATGTTTTTGTGCTTCATTCTGAATAACTTAAATTTCAAGGAAACTTGAACCTCTGGTTAAACTGTTCTTATACTAAGAAAATAAAATCATGTCTAATTGCTTAAAGGAGATAATTAAACTAACTGTCTTGGTCTATTTTTGTCCATTCCCCATTTGTGTATATTTGGTTCCAGCTCTTTTAATTTTCCTGGCCCTTATAGTCTTTCTTAGGCCTCTCTCTCTCTTTATCACTCACCTTATCTCTCTCTCTCTCATTCACTCTCTTTGGTGGTAATTATTTTTTCACCACAAAGATCCTCTCTCTTTCTCTCTCTTTTCCTGTCTCCACTCCACAGTCCACTCCCTTCTATTTTCCAGTATTAAGTATTCAGCATTTCAATTTCAAATCTATTCCAGTAACCTTGCTTCTCCCTTAGGTTTTTTTTTTTTTTTTCTTTTTTCTTTTTTTTTTTTTTCTCTTCTCCTGAGCAACTCTCTAAGTGTTTGCTGATAACATCTTAGGGACAGATTATTTTTCACTGGGCCCATTGTTAAGAAGTAACTAGCTTATTGCAGTACTGCAGAACACATATCAGACTATACAATTGTAACAAATGAACAACTTGTCCTCCACAGATTCACCACAGGATCCAATTAGTTACTAAACCTTTTACTAGGGTTTTCTAATTATTTTCTGCAATTGTAGCTATAGGGCTGCCTGAAACAATTCAAAAAATGTTTTCATTTTGTCTCACATATATACACATATACAGTATATGCATACATATGCATATGGCAAGTTAAAACAAAATTGTGACTAAGCAAAAGGAACAAATCTCTATATTGAATTACACCAACATTTAAAAGGGAATCAAAGAAATACCTCTACATTGTGAAAATTAAGAAAAGAGGCATTTTACTTCGGAATGTCTAGAATTCTAAATTGTTATAATTTCAAAATAAAATATAAACATTGATCTGCAAGTCATTACAACAGGTGATCACTTCAGCAAAATCTATATTGCAACTTCAGCACATCTTTATTAGAACTCTTTCATTGTGGGTAAACAGCCACAAAAATAAATGCTGACTTCGAAAGTATAAATACAAATATTTAAACAAAAATGTTTGCAGCATTCATAGCGCAAATTGTACCTGAACTGAAGGGCTCTGTGTGTCTATATATATTACATATGTGTGCATTATATTCACTTCTATCTAACCATATACATATATTTATTTATAATTTGCCAAGCTCTATTAACAATATACCTGAAACAAAATATATAAAAAGCATTCTATTAACTGATTTGAAAATAAACACAGGGTAAACAACTATGCACATAAAAATTAAATTATATCTTTTTGCTGTATATCCACAGAAACTTACAGGTATCAGCTGAAAAGCCTATACTTTGTTTAAAGCTAGTGTTTAAATAGGCTGCTCCTTGTAAAATTTATTCACAAAGGGAAAAATACCATTTTCATTTTTAGAGTCAGTTCAAATTAAAGGAGCAGTTTAAATTTTAGTTTGGCTGAAAAAGCCTTTGAATTCCCTATAACTTGATAGGTCTTTAAAAAATTAGCTCTACTTAATAAAAGAGACAAAAGTATCAAGATATATATGAATTTAGCCTATTTTTTATTTCTGTGTGTTCATAGTAAACATTTTTGTAAGTGACAAACACGGGCATATGACCACAGTATCACAATCAAGAAATTTTAAGACAACATTAACAATCACTCAAATTTATGCGGCATTTGCGCAACACAGGTTACATATTTGCAAGGTTTACCTATAAGTACAATAGGTATTAACATTTCACTACATTTAGAAAAAATAAAAGTGACCTGTTAGTGACCACATACATCAAAATATACACAACACAAACTGAAGGCAATCGTTAATTTTGTCCCCTTCTGATTCAATTGAATGGGCAGTGTTGCCAACTGAAACAACTTTCCTTTTTGTTTGTTTTAATACTTAGTATACCAAGTGCATTTTCTAGAACCCAATCTTTGGTCTAAAAGTAAACAAAAGAAAAAAAAAAAAAAAACAGTTCTTTAAAGAAAAGGACAAAACAGTAAATGGCCAAAATAATTTCTTGGGCACCTTTACTACGAATGCTTCTTAAATACAAATTACAGTTTAACATTTTAAAACTCTCCCCATAATTTAGGTTGTTATCAAGGTCTGCGTCCACCATATAAATCCATGATAACTTATAATACTGCACACATGGAAATCTGGCGGCTCTTAGAGATAGACTTGTCAGGTTTGAATGAAATGGCAAAGCAGTCACTATTTAGATACATATTCTACTATAATTTTGACTTCCAAACCTTATATTCTACAATGTATTCTCTCCACATTGCACCTCGCTGACACTCCACACCTTGTTAGAATAATAAACAACCCTAGAGACTGAACAAACGTACAGAAATGGGAGGGGGGGGCTTAATAAAAAATACCTGGACTTATTTTTTTAATTATCATTTACAATGCAAATGTGTGTAAAACGTTCACTTACAGTCTGGTCCCAGGGATGTTAATGTATTAAAGGGTTGGAAGAAGACCCCTGATTTTGATGTGTGAAATAATCAGACAGTCCCCCGGACAGTCCCGTCGTAAAACTTGGCAAAGAGGGTCTTAAAGACTCACAAGGCAGGGTCGAGGGGGCCTGCGGCGACGTGGAGGAGGACGCGGCCCTGGCGCTCATGGACGTGCTGCTCTGCGAAGTCATTGACGGGTGCGGGACGTGGGGGAAAAAGTAACTGGTCTGGCCCGCGAGCAGGTTGACGGAGCAGGGGTTGAGGGAGTAGGTCCCGGAGCAGGGCACCGACAGGCCGCAGGGCACGGAGGCGGCGAGCGCGGCGGCCGTGAGGTGGTGCGTGGCGTACGGGATCTCCCCGTTGACCAGCCGGTCCACGCTCAGGCCGTTGGCCGTGGAGAAGGAATGGTTGTTGCCCAGCGAGTTCTGAGTCAACACGGAGCTGTAGGGCATGGGGTGGCTGGGGTAGGCCGACGTGGTGCCGTTGTAACTCAAAGTGCTGCTGGCGCGGGGGTGGTGCAGGGACAGGAAGGGCGACATGGGCCAGTAGAGGGAGCCGGCGCGGTCCATGAAGGTGAGGCCGGTGGAGGTGAGGCGCGCCCCGCGCTTGAAGGCCAGCTTGGCCCGCGACGTGGTGGAGCGGCGCCGCAGCTTGCCCGTGGTGCCGCCGATGAACACGTCGTCGCTCGACGGGTCCAGCATCCAGTAGTTGCCCTTGCCCGGGTCGTCGTAGTGGCGCGGCACCTTCACGAAGCACTTGTTGAGGGACAGGTTGTGGCGGATGGAGTTCTGCCAGCCCTGCTTGTTCTCGCGGTAGTAGGGGAAGTTCTTCATGATGAACTCGTAGATGCCGTTGAGCGTGAGCCGCTTCTCGGGGCTCTGCCGGATGGCCATCATGATGAGAGCGTTGTAGCTGAACGGCGGCTTCTCGTACTTGCCGTTCTTCTTCTCGCCCTCCTTGCCCCCCTCCCCGTCCTTGCCGCCCTCGCCCGCCCCCTTCTTCTCCTCCCCCCCGGCGCCGGCACCCTTCTCCTTCTCGTCCGGCCCGACGGGCGCCAGCTCCCCGGGCCCGCCGCCCGGCTCGCCCTTGCCGCCCAGCCCGTCCGCTTTGGCCCCGTCCAGGGCGGCGGTCGGCGGCGGCGGCGGCGGCGGCGGCGGGAGCAGCAGCTGCTGGGGACCCTTGTCGTCGTCGGCGGCCGGGGCGCCCCGCGCCTGAGGGGGCTGCGGTGCCGGGGGCGGCGGCGGCGGCGGCGGCTGCTGCTGCTGCGGCGGCGGCGGAGGTTGCGGGGCGGGCGGCGGCGGGTGGTGGTGATGGTGGTGGTGGTGGTGGTGGTGCTGGGGGTGGTGGCTGTTGTGGTGGCCGTGGCTCGCGTGGTGGTTGTCGTTCTGGACCGCCTCGGGCACCAGGCTGTTGATGCTGAACGAGGACTTGGGGATCATTTTCACCTCTTTCCTATCTCCCATGTCCAGCATCACCCAGTCGTCGGGGGGAAACGGCGGCGGCGGCGCGGGAGCGGGACAGCGGCGCGGCGGGCGGCGGCGACCGGTGGGTGCCGAGCGGGGCGCGGGGGGCGCGGGCGGCAGCGGCGGCACTGAGCGCTCCGGAAGCAGCGCAGTTGGACCGCAGGCTCGGGCGCTGGCAAGTCATGTAGCAAAAGCAGCAACCACCCCTCAGGAATTAGAAAAAAAAAAAAAAAAAAAAAAAAGGAAAAGAAAAAAAGAAAGAAAGAAAAAAGAAACAACCACCGCCCCGGGGGTGAAGCTCCCTCGCTCCCAACTGTACTTCTTGGTCTCCCCCCCACCCCCCGCTCCCCCCCCCTGCTGCTTCCTCCTCCTCCTCCTCTCGCAGCAGCAGTCACAGCAGCAGCAGCAGCAGCCCAAAGGGGGGGAGAGCCGGGCGGCGGGCGGGCGCGTCCCGGAGCGGCCGCGGCGAGGCTGGGGAGACAGCGATCGAGGCGGCTATAGCCACAATTAATTTTCCGAGCTACAGGCGCACACTAGGGCTGTAAAAAAATTTTTGGTTTAACCTTTCCTACCGCTGGGCCAATCAGAGCCGGCGGCGTGCGGGAGCGTCTCTTTCGCCGTCGACCAATCGGAGGGGCCGGGCCCACCCACCCCCGCCCCGCCCGCCGGCTGCCGCCCCCTCGGGCGCTCGCCTCCCCCTCTCCGCGGGCCTCGGACCCCGCGGCCGCGCGGAGCCGCGTAGGGATACGCCGGCAGGAGCACGCGGTGCCGCAGCCCTTCCCTGCGCCCCTGCGCCCCTGCGCCCCCGCCACCCCCTCCACCCCGCCGGCTCCGCTCCACCGAAATCCCCCTCCTAGGGCCAATAGCTCACATTTCCGGCTTCCTCCTCATTGTACTGGGTCATTTTCGTTTCAGCGTCAATATTTGTCCTTAGTGATTAAAGTTTGTATCCAATTTTATTTTTGAAAGCGGGGGTGGTGGTGGCGGCAGTGGGAAGAGTGGGAGTGCAGGGACAGGATGCAAGGAGAGGGCAGGAAATGGAGGAGGTAGAGAGGAGAGGCACTACTTTTCCGAGTCGGCCCTGCAGGCCCGGGTCTGGCATTTCTGAGCCCTTAGGAAAATTGTGCCCTTTGTAGGTAATATTCTGGCGCAGCTTTGGATAAGAAGGGATTCGGGGCCCACCGCTGGCTCGTGTGTGTGGGGGGGCTGTCCTTTACCTCGGGGGAGGAGAGTGTGGGAGAGCTTTCGGAGCAATGGGATGAGGAGGAGGAAGTCGGCAGAGGAGCGCGGGGCCAAACAGGGGTTACTTACTCGATTCCTGAGGCCTGGGCGGCGGCGAGCTCCGCTCTCCGGCGCCGCGGGGAAGCCGGGCCTGGGGCTCCCGGTGCTGCTGAGGCGGGCGGGGGCCGCTCAGTAGTGGGCGCCTCTGATGGCCTTCCGAAATGAGAGGTGCCCAGAGAGAAAACAGTACCAAACAATCTCGAAATAAATCAGGTAACACATGCTATATACGTGTGTCTCTTCCTTTCCCTTCTCTCCTGCTCCAGAACGTCGCTCACGCGCGGGGTGACTCGATGTCGTTTTCTCCTTGCTGCTCCAGTCTCAGCTTCTAATTCAAATTGGAAGCGGGTAGCTGCTAGCGATCACCCTGGAAATATTTTCGTTTTGCTTGTTGACAATGGAGGGAAAATAAGGGTGGGCGTCTTATTTCTTTCCGGGGTTGTTTTTTTTTTTTTTTTTTTTTTTTTAAGCTTTCCTATTTTCACTCTTTTTTTCTTTCAGTTTCTCAAATGCTTTTATTTTGTGCGGGCCTCATTCCTGAAATAACAGTATACTGAAGCCAGCGCTTGCCCACCCTGAGTGCTGCTGGAAAGCACCAGGGAGCCTTGGGAACGCCGATCCCACAGTCTCAGCTTCTTGGGCTTTGGAACTGGGAAGGTTCGGTTGAAGGTTGAAGTGAATGGGGAAATTGCGAATCGGGGGCTTTAAAAGGATCCCGTGGCCAGGGGCAGGGCTAAGGCCCAGCATTTCCCAGGGATTGGAATTTAGTGGGGAGCACATTGATCAAAGGCTGTTTCATCCCACTTGGGCACGAACCATACCACATTTTACGGAGGATGTAGCCCCAGAGAAGAGGGAGGTGGAGAAGAAGCATAAATGAAAAGCACTTTTCCCTTCCTCTGTAAGGTAAATAATTATCAAACGTAAGCATTTCTTCACTTTGATAAATTCTCAGTTAAGGTATCTGGCAGATTTGGTATTTAAGCAAACGAAGGAAGGAAAATTGGTGCTTATGCTTGATATTAAAGTTAAATTGTAACATAAAGAATGCAATTGATGAATACTTAGGATAATAGGGGGTTATTCCGTCTTCCCCACCCCCAGTCTTGAGAAAGAGAGAGAAGGCGGGGGAGGAAACTTTGGAGAGAAGAATAGATAATTACAAATAGCTAGTGAATTTTAAATATACATCTATTAGGAATGCCACAAAGGGGCTTTGAATATTGGACTAACCTCAAATGTCCTTCCATTGTATGTATGTATCTTTTCCTATGTCTATATATCTTCTCACTTTAAAACAAACTGTATTTACATGTGGAAAAATTCAAGGGTTCCAACAATCAGTGCTGATAGTGACATGGCCCCAAACATTGATTTCCATCCTCTGGATTTCTCGCAGAGACGGGTAAGCTAATGGGCCTTGCCTACCGGCTGGAGAGATCTGTGGGCCTTCCCCTTCCTGCTCATTTTTCCTCCTCCCACTCTTCTCCCCTCCTCAGGCCTGTTCTTCCTACTTTTCCTCAACTCTCCTTCCTCCCTCCTCCCCTCCTTCTCCCTCCTTCCCCCTTAACTCCCCCCACCCCTTCCCCCCTCCCTTCATTCCTCTCTGTCTCCATTCCTCCACCTACTCCTCCCAATTTCTCCCCCTATAGCCCCCCTTCTCACCACCACTTATAATGGCACACAGGGCTCCCTCTGAGGTGGACAGCCCGGTACGTTTTCGTAGTCGGTCTAGCGTGAAATGATTCGGTGTAACCGGATTCTTGGGAAAGGACAGGTTACGTAAACATTTACTGATGTGGAGTAACTATACTATTTGTACTCTGATATGCAGGAAGGAAAGTGTTGATTAACACAGAAGAAAAAAAAACGAAATTAGCTGATTGCATGCTCATAAGTGCAAGCTGTCATTGAACTGCTTTTAAAATAGACACAGCTGGGTGTTTGTGTTGAAAAATTTCTTGTGTTTTTGCTAATACTGAAATAAGCATGATTTTGTATACCAAACATTTTCAGATCATTAAAATTTGTAATCTGTGCTGGTTTTAAACACAAAGAAAAGAAACAGAATCATTTCGATGTAAAATTTGCTGATATTATATTAACTCAATCAGGTCTGTACAAATTGTGCATTGTGCCTCCTAAAATCTGTTTGATCAATTTAATACACAAAGTGCCAAACGTGGGTATTGTTTGTTAACATTGGACATTTTATTCAAATCCAAGCTCAGCAGCAAACTGGAGGAGCATTCCTTCAATACAACACCAACTCTGACTGATGAATTTTTAATGTTTTAAGGTGTTTCTTAGGTCAAAGCTGAGCGTGCATTGTTTTGTAATCTTGTATAGAATTTTAGCAGGTGAAAATAAGTTTTCCTTCTGTTTACTTTCAAATAGCAAAAACTGGGGTTTGCTAATGAGCACTGTAATAATTTGATTTTACATGCCAGGAGCTCATATTAACTGGGAAAATGTTTTGCATTCAAATTAAGAATGTGTTATATAGTGTAAGGATTGCATGAATACAAGTCTCTTAAAATAGGATATTATTATAGGAATAAATAGTATATGGTTTAATATAATATTTAAAAATTTGTTCTTTTTAATGACAAAAGTTTTTTGTAATCTGGCAAGAAGTGAGTTTTAATTCATTTTAATAATTTCAATTGCACTTTATGTTGAGATAGGGTGATATATATATATATATCATATATATATGGTATATATAGGGTGATATACATATACACATATATATGTGTATATGTATATATAGCTTATTCAACAAAACACGAACTGTTTACTCAGCAGCCCCTGTTTATCTCAGCAATAGCTTTTTTAAAGAACTGCTACTAGCTGACATGGGGGGGTTCTGGACATAGTATTGTGCAAGTTGAAAGTCTCTGGATGGGGCTTTGTATATCCTACCTGTCAATTTGGGTGCAAATTGGATTTGAAGGCCTGCCTCTGTCCACCTTGGGCCTCTTCCCAAAGCACTTGAAGCCCTATCTCCAGCCCCCCTCTGTCCTTGTGATTACCTTCAGAAGACAGAGGGAATCAGTTGTCTGAGACCCGAAACAAATTCTCTATCATTCTAATTTTTTTCTCATGACCAATCTCATCTTCATCTCACACAGATATCTACAAATGTGTATGTGTACTATTAATGAATAAAAACAGAAGTCAGAGAAAATGTAATTTTCTGGTATATGTCACAGTAAACTTCTCTCTTGCTCTGTCTGCAGTCCCCCAGCTCCCCCAAAGAGGTCAGGCCCTGTAAAGACTGAGCAGTTCCAAGGGAAGAAATGCTTAGGAAATGAATTAGATTATTTCTTCTTGAGTTTTAATTAATAACCAAGGCTCCACAGCATACTTCATCCGAGTAGGGACCAGAACATTTCATTTTTCCATTTGGCAGTGTCATTTAAGTCTTCCTTAGGGCCTGTTTCCCATTTTTGGTCCATGATTTGCCTCTTTTCTTCTTGCTACCTGCTGGTTAAAAGAGGGTGGGCCCCACTTACCTGAAATCCACCCTGTCCTCCACTCCCTGGACAGGGTGTCCTTGGAGCCGCGCCCAGCACCAAACTTTCGCTAAAGCTTTCTTCCTGCAGATGCACAGAGAATTTTTGACCTTGTGACGTTTGGGAGTGAGGGGATCCTATGCAGAGTCATCAAGGTATTTACAGAGATCCTGTGGTAAGCGAGGTCTGCCCTCTCTGGAGCCAACTCGTCTGTAATATCTTTCTAACAGCAGGTAATGGTGCTAACATTTAGTGATTAGAAGTTACTCTTTAGTGTGTTGTATCCTTGTTCCATGGGTTTTGGTTACAGGTTATACGATTAGGTTTGCGAGAACAGTAGTGAACTAAACTTCTCAGTAAGAGGTCTTCACACCAGGGAAGTGTTACTTTTCTGCAGCAGCCCTGTCTCATCACTCATTAGGGAGCTGCAGGTTGTCAGCGGCTGCTCTCAGCGAGCGCGCACCCTCAATGTCCCCGGGGGCGCGCACATTTGCGAGTGTGTGTACACACACACACACACACACGGCACTAAAACTAAATTAAGAAGCCGATGATTAAGACAAGCGTCTACTAGGCCTGTCATTTCAGCATCCTTCCATCATAACATTGTGGCACCGGCAATTTTGCTTGAGAACCTCGAGTAAAAAAAAATCTATGGGAGAGCCTCGTATATGAGAGTGGGAATGTTTAGCTTGTATAAGCTAGGGAGCCACTTCAAAAGCGAGAAAGTCCAAGGTGAAGAAGAGGAGCAGGAGGAGGAAGAGGACCAGGATGAGAAGGCCTTGACAGAGACCCCTGGGACACTCCAGGAAAGTCTCTGTGAGCTGCCAGGTGTTCCAGGCTCTCTGAAGCCTAGTACATGCGCAGCCAAGAGAAAAGTCCCCGTGATCTTCAGCAAAATGTGCATGGGAGAAGCTTTGTCCCAACATCACCCAAAGAAGAACCAAGCGCGGAAAGATCCGTGGCTAAACACCACCAGAGGCCCAAGGGACCTTTAGTCTCTGGAAAAACTTCTCAGTCGAATACCCTGTACAGCGTCTTGTAAACATTGTAAACATAATGTCCACTACCCTTTCACTTGTTTCTCATTATTTGCCAGTGCCCTCCAGAGGGTAAGTGATTTGCTGAAGGACTTGAGTCCCTGATAGTGTGAGGATAGACCTGTTTCATTTTTATATCTGATCTAGTTGTGAGAAATGGTTCCACACTGGGGAAGTGCCCCTGAGAGGCCAATTCCTATTTTTCCTCTAGTTGCCAAAGGAAATGGTGCAGTCAGTCCTTTTAAGGAGACAGGGGAAGTTCAAAAAACAAACAAACAATAACAACAACAAAACAGAGTTGAACGGTGTTGGTGAACTAGAATGAAGGAGGCTAGAGCTCAGGTCCTTAGTTTTAACCCCCAGCTCTATCCCATAAGGGAGAAAGTGAGACTTGGCAAAAGCCAGCCCACAAAACAACACTACCTTGGATTGTCCATAAGTGGGGCACTGAAAGAGAAAAAGGAAAATAGCTTTATAAATATATATCAAGCTGAAAGAAAAACTTACAGGGCTAAAAATGCGGACCTCTTAAGAGTTGGAGCTCCCAACTATCCCCTAACTGTTCTTAATTAGTTGGAGCTTCAATGCGATTTCTAATAGAAGCCTCAATCTACTTCGGGAAGTGTTATAGGACCTTTTTGAGAACCTGTGCGCGTGTGGGGGCGGGGGGGAGGGGAGCGGTGAACCAAGACTTCTGTTTCGAAGCACACCTCCAAATGGTCCCCCAGATACCAGTTGTGTCAGAAAAGATGGAAAGGTGTGACTCCCCCGCAATTATTAGCTGGTCACCTTTGAACTAGTCACTGCTTAATAGTTAAATGAACACGGAAAACACTCCGAACAGTTCAAGGTCCGTGTAAGAGATTAGTAAGTGTCTTATAGGAAATGCTTGCACCCACTGAAGGTCTGAAAAAATGAGAGGAGAGAAAACTTCCCAAGTGTGTAAGCAAGCCAAGGAGGCACGCAGAGAACCCTTCACCCCCAAAGTCTCCCTTCGCGTGGGGAAAGTCATATCTACTAATCATATTTATCTGTTTTATTTCAAAAAACCTGGGTGGACAAACCAATGAGCAAATTTTTACTTTGTGCTCATCTTACACCCACTTGGCCCTCACTCTCCGGTGTCGGTTCCGGTAGGTCTTCCCACTCCACCAGCCCCCTCCCCCAAGCCAGGGAAAATCTGTTGGAGCAGCGTTTCTCAAAAGGTCCAGCCCTTCTCCCTCAGCTGCCCACCCCCTTGAGGTTGTAACTGCCAGGGTTTCCTTCGAGGAGCATCGCGGAGCTGGGGCTCCCAGGTCTGCGCGCCGGCTGCTCCCTGCGCTTACCCGCGCGCTCGCCCGGCGCTCCTTTGTTACAGAGGCTTGCCGAGCGCAATCGAGCCAGAGGCCTTGATTCTAGGCGTCATCTCTCCAGATGTCCCCCCTCTTAAAGTTGGCTTTTCAACCTAAGTATCTCGTTTTTTGGCACATCAGACCGGATACACACACATATCAATAATTTTGGGCAAAGAGGTCATCTGCCACGGTAAACGCGGGGAAATAGAAAACAGTTAAAGGTTTGGAACTTGTATTTCTATAAGGCTCGAAACATCTCGGAGTTAAAAGACTGAGGTGCATGCAGATGATGTGAATTCAAATATTCAATTGCACATAATGGGTATTGAGCCCAGTCGGGGAGAACAGTCATACCCGTATTTCTCTCCCGCTCTTTGGAAGGAGTCGTTTGCGGGGAGGAGAGGAGAGGACAGACTAAGCTACTGGTAGAGCGGCATCAGGAGCCAGTTACCGTTATCTTGTGTAAACAAAGCAACTCCACTCCTTCCACTCCTTTGTGTCAGAATCAACAGCATCAAAGGTGTGGGTATTGGGGGGCGGGTTACTTTTATTTTTAAAACAACCCTAGATTCTTGTTCACCAATTTTAGTATCTTCCTTCTGGGTTTGTCCTAAGGCACGCAGGAGAGAAAGTAAGGTTCGAGAAAAAAGCTGGGTCGGCAAGTTTGGCTCCCGAGCCTGTGAACTATGAATCACCGCGGTGAAGAGTTTTTCTTTTTTTTTTTTTTTTTCTCACCCTCTTCTTTTTTCCCGGAGCCTGAACTTGTTAGATAAGATAGAGGAGGCTACAAGGAAATAGAAACGCAGAAAAAGCCCAGCTCCTTTGGAGAGCAGCCTGTGGGTCTGGCAGGCGGCTGCCGCGCGCTCTCCCCCAGCTGAGGGGCACCGAGCTCGCTCCGGAGCTGTCCCAACGTGGGCCTCCTCAGCTGCCCGTAGTGCAAGACACCAAGCTCACACCGCTGCCTTGTCCGTCTTTCCTTTGGCCTTAGAATAAACACTCCGAAAGAAGAGAGAACAGCCTCTATTTGAGCTGAGTGTCTGTTCTCCCGGCTCGAAACACAAAACAGGGCCCGCAAGTTTTCCTAGAAGAAGTCCCAATCACAAAACAGTCGGAGGGTGGGAAACACTAGAGAAGTCTGGAATTACAGATGAAACATTATTTTCCTAATTAGTTAAAAATAATTCTCTTTTCCTATTTATATGCATATACACTCTACTGATTACACGTCCCTATTTACTTGAAAAAAATACTTGGAGTATCTTTAGTACATACTGCTTATTCTTTGTCCCCTTGAACATTTACAGCTGATAGTTTGGCTGGTTGGTATCAATTAGCACTGGATTTTGCCCCAGGATTGCTCCCCAGGGCGGACAAGTGGAGTCAACTCATCTCCAGCGACTTTTTCTCTGCTCACGTGCATATCCACGCCAGGGCTTCAGAAGCAGTTCAAAATCTCCAGCCTTGGTTTCACTTGATTTTGTTGTTGTTATTGATAAATACTGGGTCATACACAAGCCACTTGTCAGAGCCTTTGGCTCCATCTCGCAGCTGCAGCTCCTATCGGGACGTTTGCGTCCTGTCCTAGGAACTGGAAGTATTTACTGGGAAAAGAATTACATATTCTCTGCTCCTTCAGTTTTGGAGATGGTCCCTTAAGATCATAACGTCTGTCTGCTAGCTGTCACATTTATTTCTTGATTGTTCTGCTATGTGAACAATGGGAAGATGTGTGCATATTTCCCCCATCTTTTTAAAACAATTATTGAAATCATTTAAAAAAAGAGGTGGGGGAACAAAGTATTGATCCCAGTCCTTCCCGTATATTTGGAACCAAAAGAACATAGGCAAACAGATAATTGTTTTAATTGTCGAGGGGTGGGTGGGTTGGTAGGTAGGCCCTTTGGGGCTTGTGTAATTGGAGTAATATATACAGTTTATCTTTTAGCTGCGCCGTATATATTCTTTCCCTTGATACATATTGCACATGAACTGAATCCATAGTCTACTTGTCTTAGCATGTTTGAAGCCCCAGACACCCAACAGTATCATTACAGGAAAGAGACAAAGACTCAAGGCAGGGAGGTGACTACCTTTCGGGCCAATGGGGAATTTACCTTGACGTTGAACTTTTTTAGGAAGCGCACTCACTGGCTCAGACTCCCTTGCTGCGCAGAGTTCAGGTCTTCCCCAAGCTGAAGTGCAGGGAGGGGGTGTGGAAAAAAAACAACTGATTTTTGACATTTCAAAGGGACTCTTTCTATTTATCAGTGTTACCGAAGTGTACGTTACTGGAGAAACAACAAAACAAGCATAGAGCTGCAATTTTCAAGAAAATAGGATCCCCAAATATAAAAATAAAAAAGTAGCAGATAAGATGTATAATTCAATCAAATTACACAAAATTGCTTGAAAATCTAGAACAGTAGCGATCCATTATGCCTCTGTTTTATTAGTGACAAGTACAATTACTCTAAAATAAAGAACACTGGTGAATATATAATTGGCTGTAATCATGTTAGTGTTTGAATAAAAATGACGGGAACATTTAACACTTTGACAACAAAATGTTCAGAAATAACTTATTTATTCAAACAGTTTTTATTTTCCACCAAGTGAAGGAGAAACACAGTTTGCTTAGGAAAATCAATGACTTTTCCCTGCAATAAATAAATATCCAAAAGGGGAAAAAAGCAGCCCCACACCTCTATATTATTACTGTTATTATTTTTAACCAGCAAGAAGCTTAATCCTGTGTTTGAAGTCAGCGCTCATCTAGCTGCGGTTTAGTACCAAAGTCCGCCACCTAGAGGAAGAGCTCTGAAGCTCAGAACCCCTTTTTCCGCGGTGACCCGGGAATCAAAGTCAATATTCCTTTGGAAATTACTCTCCTAACTAACTCCCCCCTCACTCCTCTCTTCCCCTTCTGCCCTACAACGTCGTCACAATATTTTCTTAGTAATTGCTCTGTGCAATTGACAGAAGCGCCGCGTCTCCATCAGCGCCGTGCTCTCCCAGGAAAGCGTGAGGGCGCTGGGGAAGCTGATCAGGGAATATTTGGTTCTGGAGAGACAATCCACTTTCATCCACAGTGGTCTAGAGCAGCCTGACTTGGGGGCTCACAAAGTGACGGCTGGTGGAGACATCGCCACATTCCAATGCTTTCCCCCGCCCCCGCCTCTGGCCACCAGTTGGTATCGCGGGGGCTACTCCCGACTTTTCCCCAGCGACCCCACTCCCCACCCCAAGCGCGAAGATCTGAGATCCCGGCTTTATTTAATCATGTACTCAGTTCTTGGAGCCCAGTGGGTCCTTTTATTCTTCTAGGTGGGTTGCTTGAAGAACTAAGTTACAAAGGTATTAAAGAGGAGGCCATGTTTGCAGGGGTCCCCCTGTGGTTAGGGAGACCGACCCAGGAGAAACCCCAAGTTTTTACACTGATCTGAGTCTCCGAGTTTCAAGAAACTTAGGCAGTGTGGGAGAGAATTTGAGCCTTTTTTGGATTTTAGTCTTGGTGGATCCTATCGGCTCTTCACCCAGAAAAGCCAACCATTGTCGAGCTCATCCTCTCAAGTAATTCTTGGAGAAGGGAGATGCTAAACAAGGGAATGTGGGGCTTTGGGAAGAAATTTACCAACAGAATTCGAGCGCTCAAAGTCTCCTTAACATCAGTACTGCAGACTCTGCTGTGAGCCCCG